CAGGGTTACCGTGCAACACCCTCAGAGTACTTCCTTTCTCCAGGAAATCGCTCGTTGCACGGTCCTGATTTCAGAATCCACTTCCTTTAGGTCCAACTTCATAAAAGTTTTAAAACAGCTCCTCTCTAAGAGTTTTCACCCTTCACATAAAATATCGCATCATTTTAACAAAAAATGTCCAAATGCAGGTACTGGCACCAGGGGCCACTAAAGACGATGAAGAAAGGCCATGTTCACAAAGTACAAGTTTAGTCCAGGGAAGCTCGTCTTCTGCGCGCCTTGTGGACGGCGAGCGGAGCTCTGTGCTAGGGCATGTCAGTTAATGAACTGAAAACATTAACTAAGCCAATACCAGCCTAATGGGAAATCTGGCTCCGCATATGTTGCATAATTGTTGTATTACTGAGCCAGCCAGGCACTGTTCAATCACAAAGCCAGCAGGAAACCTTCAAGTAGCAGGAGAGTTGAGAGACACGCACTTCTTTGCCCATTAATTTTGTGTATGCTCAAGCCTCTCAGGTTTCCTGTCCTGAAGAGGGCTTTCCCCGTCTTGTCAGGCGACATCTTCAGTTTCTCAAGGAGGAGTTTCTGTGGTCAGCCGGGGGCTGACAGTGTGTGTCTACACCCACCACTTTCATCTTCGTGCTTCCCTTGTGACCCGCTGCGTTACAGGACCTGTTGCTCGGTCAACTTGGATCTCACCAATAATGACCACAACATCATTTGGAGATGTATTTTCTGTTCAGGACTGAAGATTTTTTCTGCATTGGAGTAGTCTCCTAACCCAGCTGTTATTGTTTTATAGGAAGATTAATCCTGAAGGCACGAGGCATGCTTGCCCTCTCCCATAAGAACTCTTGCGTGAGAAGAAAACTGTATTTTTAAATTCCAATGTATATTTATTGATCCATTTTTATGCTCAAGTCTAAGTATGGTCAATATGGCTGAATTTTAAAATACTTCCTCTAAATACTTGGGTTGGTTCCCATTCTAGCCCTTTATTGGGCAGTGATCCTTTTTTGTTCTATGCACTGGACATGCAAAGTGCCATGAAACCGCAATCCATGGCCTGGCTTGTTTCTCTTGGTGTCCCATCTGTGCTTCCTAGATAACTCAAGTGTAATCTGTAAACTCTTCAGAGCCAAGACATCATCTGATATCTACAACCCAAAATTCTGTGAGCTCTGAGATGCCTTGGAGTCCAGAGACAAAAGATTTATAATTCCTAAAATTATAAAAACCTTATGTATTCTCCACTGAAAGCTTGAAATTAGCAATGAACATATTGTTCACGCTTTTAGTAATACCTGGTTCAACAGACAAGCCAACACATCCTGATGATACCCGAGTTCAGATCAGGTGCTGGCCTGTTTCCAGGCATGATCAGTGGCAATCTATGTGAACCCTGAAAGGAGACAATATGAGTAAATCAGAGATTTGCTTCTGATGCAGCCATATAACGTCATGATAAAACATTTCTTTTTCAGTTCTTATCTGCAGAATATATACTCCTCATTGTTGCATATTTTGTTAAAACTCAACAACTTGGTTTGACTCCAGAGGGAGTTTTGCTTTTAGGAAGAGGCTTGCATAAATTGAGACACCAAAATTAATTTCTAGAAACAAGCAACGAGTTTCTCTTAGTTCTAGTACATCACACTGCATTTTTGCCTTTGCTTCTCTTAGAAATGAACAATAAATGTTCTTAAAGAATTATCTTAAACAAAACAAACTGAAAGAAATCTAAAAAGTGTCGTTCTGAGGATACAACTAAAATTCTGTAAATGAGTTCTATGCTGTAAATGACTTGTACTCACCCTTGTGTATCCTTTTGAAATATGTTAAATCAATTTTTGAGACTTCTGCAAGTGCAATGTATTCATCTTTATTCCACATAACATTCAGATGCAATGTTGGAGATTTAAAAAAAAATTAATTTTATTTTTTCTAGATATTTCTTTTCAGAGGAAGAGTTTCTAACATTAAATAAGTCATAATTGCTACGTTTAACTGATAGATTGGCATCTGGCATAAACTTTTAACTAACTTGTGTTGAGTAATGCTAACAGACAGCTTGCAAATACCATACAGCTACTAAAAGGAACTAAAACATCTAATGCTAAAACTACATCGGATTCCTTAAAAGACAGGGTCAATCTAAACGCTTATGTAAACAGCTCTTTCAACCCAAGATTATGAGAAATGAGAATGTGAGAAGAGAATATGAGAAATTATTTTAAGATGGTTTTGTAAAGCCTTTTAGTTAAGACAAACAAAAATAGACTATAAAATTAAACAGAGTCTGATTCTTCAAGCCTGACGGACAAGTCTTCCCTGGCCTTCAAAGGAGTTCCTTCCCAGCTGTACTTTAAGGATAACATCTGAAAATGTTTCATAACTGTATTTTAACTCCTAATCAATAATTTCATTTCTTTTTTTACTACAGAGTAAAAGTTCATCTAAAAATAAGCGTATCTGTTCTCTTTTTCCTCTGAACTTGACACTAAAGCTTTTGCTAAAAAATAAAACTTGAAATCCCATTTTTAGTAACTTGCTGCCGAAAGCAGATACTGATGATTGCACAAACCCAGATATAAATGGGGAATTAAACTTCCTAGATACACTAAAGCTAAATGAGTTGATTTTTCCAAAAGAAAACCAAACAGCTTGTAGGAAGCAAGTCATTGGTAAACAAAAGAAACCACAAAAGCAATAAAGAACATCATAAACCTATTAACATTACACAGAAAAAAATGCTAAAGAATAATCTCCATTCAAAAGTAAAAATGATTTGCCAAAATATTAACAGCAACAAGCAAAAGGCAGCCTTGCATTAAAGGCAGGGCTGGAACAAAGCACGCTTTGGGGGAACACACACTTTTGTGATAGAGCCATGTCTTGCTGGATCGTGTCCTTTCCTATTTGGTGACGTGGGGCTGGCTGTGGTACTTTGATGGCAGTCCCACTGCCCCACCTCTGCTCCCATCAACTCTCTTTCTCATAGCTCCCGTGATCAGAAGCAGCAAGCAACTTCCCACCACACAAAGTAAACCAGCTACCTAATTTCCTGTTGCCCCCAGAGCAGTGCATGAGTTCAGTATGAGGGGGGCAGGCTGAGGCGTTTACTGTATTTTATTTCATTGTCATGGTTTCCTGGTGAAGTAAAGGGATCCTTAGTGGTCACTGGTGCCTGATCTTCTCAACAGGTCTCCACATAGGCGTGCTCTTGTTCTGGTGGGTGACTGGGTGCATGGCCACAAATGACAAGAATACAAGCATTTTCTCTTTAACACAATTTAAATTAAAGCTCGAAGTGAAGGCCGTGGAGGGAAGCGTGGCACACTGCTGCTTTGCTAGCTTCTCACTCTGTTTCCCGACATGAGACCACCGTGCCAAAGCTCAGGCGGGAGGACTCCTCCTCAGCACAAGCTTGCCTGACGGCTACTGACATACCAAATACATTCTCTGTAATCTCAGTACTCCTTAGGTGGCATCTTTATGGTTTCCTAATGCATTGCCTCCTGTGCCTCACCGGAGTGAGGGCTGCTCTGATATCTACCATGAAAGTTTTCCCTCTTCTCAAGACTCCCCCCATCAAACCCCAAAGAAATGACAACAAAACACCTCCTGTTGAGTTTATATACAACTTTGAGAATAACACAGCTAGTGTCATGCTTAAAAGGGATGGATACTTTCTCATAGAGTGGTGAGATTTCTTGGTGGTTTTTCTTGAGACATTTGCCCAGTCCATCTTTTGAGTCTGTTACCACAAACCTGTCTTGAAAGGTTAAGCTTTCACCCCAGCCAAGACAAGTCAGACAACTGGAAAGGGGAAAGAGGAAGAACCTTGACAGCTTTACAGATAAGTCTATCTCATATATATAGTGGCCAACCAGGAAGACTGATCTGGACCTAGGACTACTGAGCCTAAGGCTGTAAGAAAGAAAAAACATGTAACATGCACACCCGTGTATACACTATGTTACAGCTAAAGAATGTTAATCTGTAATTGCTAACATTAATTTTGATGTGTTCCTTGTTTTACTGTTTAAGATCTTATGTCTAACTGCATTTTGGAATAAAAAAAAGTTATTTACTTTTTCATTGGGACTTATTTTTCCCCCAACACCTGCTTATTATAACCTTGAATTCCTGAGATATTGCAGCATTCCCTGTCACAACCTTTACTAAGATAAAGCAACTATTTGTTACACGCTCACCTTCTGCAATACAATTAAAGCAACATAATTAGGACTCAAATTGTAGCTACAGCTTTTTATGATAGAATGAAGATTTTTGCTTCTCATTTACAATATTTGTTGAAGAGGTCTGAGAGACTTAATGCACATTCATAGATCAATGTGCAACTTTTAAAGCCTGTATCAACAGTCTTCTATTTCCAGTTTAATATTATCATCATGAAGGTAGACAAACCAGACATCTACACAGGATCTGGTGGAATCATCCACCAGAACTAGCACACGAGCAGTTCACAGTAATGAGGGCATGAACCACATGAATTTTCCTTTTTGATTTGGGATAACTTGATTTGTACGGATTGCGCAAGTGGTTTCGCCTTT